GATGGATGGAGTCTATTAAGGAGGTTATGGGTATTAAGGAGTTGCAGGAATTAAACAAAGCAGTGGAGGACAGAGGGTTTTGGAGATGTCTCATCCATAGGGTCACCATGGGTCAAGATCAACTTGAGGGCAGTTAACAACAACAACAAAAGTGGAATGACAGATGCTTTGGGATTGTCCTGGCTAAATCAGGACAGTAAAAGAGTATGGAAATGCTGCATGTGCAAGGTTGCTGTGAAAGAAGATAAACAAACATAGGCAAATCATTGTCATCTCATACTGAAACTGGGAATGAAGAATAATTTCCAGTCTATTTTGTGGCTGCCTTGCAGTTCACACAACGTTATGCATGTGTGTCTATATATATATATATATATATATATATATATATATATATATATATGTATATGTATATGTATATGTATATATATATATACACATACACAGAGAGAGAGAGAGAGAAAGACAGAGAACACGGCTTCCTCATCCCAACCACAAATCTGTAAGTCTATGCTTTACACATTAAGAGCTGGTCTTTGGCAACTCTTACATAAAAATCCTTAGAGGAATACTATGTTCTTTCATAATGCTGGTGGGAATCTTTCCCAGACATTGTTTTTTTATTGAACCATTAAATTAGGACTGTCTAGTAGCAGCATGTTAAGCCACTAATTGTGGAATTGGAAAAGTAGTTGAGGTGAGAGGAAGAAATTCTCACAATGCCCTTGAGTTGCTGATATATAACAGGGAGCCATATGCAGCCGGCCTTAAAACTAAAAATGTTTCTGCAGTGTTAGAGTCTCCAAAGAATATGGAAACAAGAGTTCTCAGGAGGACCTAGGGAGTGCAAATGGGATCGTATAGTTATGTTTATTTACCATAATCTGGGCATGTACCCAAACACAAGCCACAAGTAGTCAAATTTTGTTTCTCCCATTTCCCAAAATGCTGCTGCTGTTTATAAACCAAAGCTTTAAGTGGTGTTTGGCTAGATATCCACATTGAGATAGCTGCACTCTTCTGGACCCCATAGAGGTATAATGTTGTAGAAATACTTGCCATACCATTGATAGCAATAACAGAGCAATGATTTTGCTGGCTGAGAGATTCACAATTGCACAATTGCGAACTCAGCTTCCTGGGATATGTGCCAATCCAGTCTGGGTATGCTGCTGAAGTGACACATTTAGTCTCCTTAGAGGAATGCCAGTGTGCCAAATGCATCATTGGCACAGCATTTTCTAATGACAGACTTATGGAGTAGAACTGGTACCAGCTCCAGAGGGAGATGCAAGCTGCTTTCGCTAGCTCCTTCAATAGCAATAGCTATGGTGGTGCATTTGTCTGTTTTTATTGTTTTATACTTTTGCACTTTGATCTTAAGTGCTATTTTAAAATAAATGTTGAAATAACAGGTGTAGTTTTATTTAGCATTCCCAATAAACTAGACGCTCATTCACTGCTCAGATGAAACTTTTCATACTGAATAATTTCAGTTAAGAAATTGTAATTGCTGGATACAGTCTTTGTGATGCAAGTTTTCATAGATCATTGCCTGTTCTTAATTTCCATTTTCCCATCTACATACTTATGCAGTTCAGCTTGTCATGTGGCCATCACAGAATTTATAAAACAATAATTGTGTCAAACAATATACAGAATTTGTGATAGGCTGGAGCACATTCTTTGTGATCTGAATACATCTGTGAAAACATTTGGCTGTTTCTGCTGAACACTAAAACATCTGAGTTTCTTTTGTGGCTACAATAGAATTGACAGGCACCATAGGGATCATTTTTGTGCTAAACAATGTCCTTTGTGGGATTCTGGAAGGTGTTTATTCTAGGAAGGGATTAAATGTAAAGATCTCAACAGCAAACTAATGGAGTCCTATTGTACTGGAGTGCAGGTCCTAAGTCTGGTCTTCAGTGTTAGTTAAGCTGCTTTCTGCCTTAAGCTAAGGCTAAAACAACACCTAGGTAAATCACATTTATCTATATGTTTGTTCCCCTTCTGTCTTGTCTTTCCATCAGTGAGCTCAAAGGCAGCATATATGACTCCCTACTTTATCCTCACAACAACTTAGTAAGGGAGATCAGGCTGTGACACAGTGACTTGCCAAATATCAGACATTAAGTTTCATGGCTGTTTGGAGGCTTGAACCTAACTCCCCTAAGCACCAGTCAAATACTGTAACCAAAACTGGCAAATCAATTGCTCAGGTTGTCGTTTTCAGCAAGAGAGCAGCATGGGAAGAGAAACATTTGGATCCTTCCTGCTTTATCAGTTTTCCACCTCCCGCTCCTTTTCATGTGCTTTTGATCTTGGATGAGGTATAAGGAGACTTTTTGTAACAAGTAAGCATACGCTAGACTGGATCAATGTGTCGCATGTTTCATTTGCTTCTAAGAGAGGCCATGCGTACCACTGCACAGCAAATCTAAAAAGTGATACACAGTAATGCAAGGCTGAGCAAGTGTGGAAAGAGGAGGGGACAATCTTCACACCTACAGCAAGCCATACCTCCTAATATTTGGCTGAAAATCAGTCAAACTCAGCCACAGAAGTGACCACAAGTCTCCTTTCAAGTTATACTCCCAGGTTTCAGTGATTTTCCAGCCAAATAAATTCTAAAAAATAAAAATAAATTCTAAAGTAGGCTGTAAATATTTTAAAGTTTACCACCATTCCATGTAGTCTTTTTGCTCATTTGGGGGTGATGGAGTGGGGAGAGAGATCTGGAGCTTGGGATAGGATAGAGGCAGCATGATTTAGTGATCTGAGTGTTGGACTAGGACTCTGGGAAAGCTGGGTTCAAATCCCTGCTTAGCCATGGAAGCCCACTGAGTGACCTTGGACACATCATACTCTCTCAGCCTCAGAGGAAAGCAGTGTCAAA